CCCCCCCCCCATTCCCCAAGAAGAAACGTGTCTCCTCGGGGGGAAGGGTTCGGCTGCAAGTAGTCGAATTGTTTTAACAATTGATGTTTCCTTTAAGGTCTGGCAGGCGATCTTCATTTTGATAACGATGAAGAATTTGATATCAATGGTAATCCAACCAAAGTGGATTTCAACTGGCTCTCGCTACACGAGCTCGGTCATAGCCTGGGACTAGACCATTCCTGGCACATTGACTCTGTCATGTTCCCGTTTTATCTGGGTTATGCTCCAGGTCTGAAACTTGATAAGGACGATGTGGAAGGAATTCAGCAGCTTTATGGTAAGGACCTGTCTTAACTCGACCACATCTTAACGTTGTTAGTGCTGGTGGGCACTACACCTTTGTTTTGCCATCGATATCATGATTATTGCCATTATTATTTCATAGTCAATTTTCTTTTAAATGGAAACACTTTTCTTGTGATGTGATGGTAAGGCAAGTATGTTGTTGTGGTGATTGCTACCGTCAATCGACGTAGCAAGTTGTAGACGTAAGATTATCAGCGGGTTAATGCATACAAAAAAAAAACCTTCTTAGCCACGATGGTAGTTGTGTGGTCGTTCGAAATTAAATATTTTTAAAAAAATCTTTCTTTCCCAAGCTTTTATCTCCTACCTGTGCCCAAACAAATTGGCTATAATTACGTAGCTTTCATCACATTTGGAAACACTTTTTGATTTTTTTCCATCTTCACTTTCGTCGATGTAACATTTTTTTAACGATTTTATTGCCACCAGGTAAACCAGAAGTGGACCTTGTCACTCCTACTCCCCACACTAATCCTACACAGCCTCCTGGGATACCAGATTTTTGTTCCCTGGAAAAACTTGACGCCATGGTTATGACAAAAGACAAGAAAACGTACGCTTTTAGCGGCGCGTTTTTCACGGAGGTCTCTGATAAAGGGGCTGGTAAAGTTAAGAAAATAAAAGACCATTGGCCAGGACTAGAGGATGGCATCGACGCTGCAGTTACCAGACGACACAATGGATGGACATACTTTTTCAAGGGCACAAAGTAAGTTAATAAATCATCAGTTTTCAACTGAGAGTCGAGAATAACCCTTAATTTCCATGATTTTGCTTTACTTCACACTTTGTGATTAGTTGAAAAATTTGCGCCATATTCTCGACCAAAGAGACGAAAAACTACGGCCAGTCTCGCCTTGATCGTTCATGATTTGCCATGTCTCAGGCTATTGCATGTTGACTCATTGGGTCAGTAGCGACACTCAACTGGAAAGAAATCTATAAAAATACTCATACAGTAAAAACCTTGCATGTTATGCAAGAGGTGAATAATCCTTTGCGCCCGTTGGTTATACGAGGAGGATATCGTCCAGTGGAGCTCGATCAAATTACAGTATCTCCTCAAGAACATGTCCTTCAGGCGATTTAAACAGTGGTACCCTGCGTGAAAAATCGCAATTAAAATGCATGCAAATCATTTATCTTCTTAACTTAGACAGATTACTTTATCTCCGCCGGAATGAATGGCTTAATCATTCCTACAATCTGAATTAGTTTTCGCTGTTCTCATTCTTCACAAGGAAGATTTTGATGATAATCGATACCTTTTTTGTTTTATTTAACAGATTATGGATCTTAAAGAACAAACACTTAATACGAGGACCAATAGACATCACTGTTCCACATAAAGATGGTGGGATGGGCCTTCCGAAGGAACTGTACAACATGGATGCCGCTGTCGAATGGGCTGGGAACGGGCGCATGTATTTCTTCAAGGGGGAGGACTATTGGCGTTATAACTTTTATCGACGAAGGGTCGACTATGGGTACCCCAAGAAAATCTCCAAAGCCTGGCTTAATGTTCCGAGTGATCTGAACTCTGCCTTACAGTGGAAGAATGGCAAAACATATTTCTTGAAAGGGAAGAGTTATTACGCTTTGAAACGTCGAGGAAGACCACGGGTTGATTCTGGATATCCCAAGGATATTTCCGCCTACTGGATGGGATGTAGCCAAGAGGGACTTATCAGGGGAAAGATTTCCCCTGGGAAATCGTCTTCCTTCTCTGTTTTACCAAGTACTCTTGTCTTGCTGGGAAGCATGCTAACTTGGTTAAGACTTTATCAGTAGTGAGCTGAGCTCAATGGAGATATGAACAACAGGAGTTCGAGAAAGATTCAGGTTTGAGAACTGTAATAAAACTCTCTGGAGTGGCTCTACAAAGAATATAGGAAAACAAATAGGTAAAAAATGATTCATAGGAAAATATTATGATGTACATTTCGAGGACGTCATCTCACTAATACTACAGATATTTAATTATTCTCACATGCATGTAACATTTTCTTCACTTTTGTGAGAAAATTTGAAAATCAAGTTAGTTGAGTCCATGTAAAATAACATGTATATTCTTGTGTATAGCATTTAAAAACTTGGAACAAATATTATCGAATTTGTTATATAGTTGTATGTTATCTATTCCGTCTTAAAAAAACTGAAAAATTAAAAATTAGCTTTCATGTATATTCTTGTAATACTTGTTTGACTACATGATATTGTTTTGTTTTCGTTGACAAAGTACCGAAAATAAATTCCAGGCATTTTAATCAATGATTCCACTGTCATTTCTCCGATGATAAGAGTTGTGTTGATTTAAAAAAAAAAAAAAAAAACTAAACTACATATTCTCGTGCTGGGAAGCAAACTAGGATTTTTGTCCATCGGATATTGGAAATGATGAATCAATGACCAGACCTTCGCGAGGGATAGCTGTGTTCAGCTTGTCCATTTGAATTGCTTGGATTTTGAATAAGCTTGAACGAGTACCAATCGAACTCGCATAAGACATCATACTTGCCCGGAAAGTTCTATATCGTGAAAGGAAAGTTCCCATCTTTCAAATAAGGTCACGTAACCTTCGGGCAGTCTTTTCGTAGAAATGTTATATTTTAACGTTGGATTCTGTGATGATGCCGGCTTATCATGGCTCCCTAGTTGGTCGGAGTTTAAAAATTTACGATGTGAAACTTTTTGAGATAAAAAGTCTCAGTAATTAGCATTTTCAAACCACGGACATTAGTCTTTTGCCTTTATTTCTGCGGCTTCACTTTATTTCCTGTATCGTGGCCTTTTCAGTGAAAATTTCCTGGTATAAGTTTGGATCATGATTATGTCTTTAAGTGCCCAGCTGTGTCAGCTGCGCTGTAAATCCAATTTTATCGCTTCTAACTTAAATTGTAACAATACAAGGAGGAGCTGAATACGTTTGACTCAGACAAAATGTTCCCATAAGTATCGTAATAAAATTGAAGAAGAAATCCATTCCTGAAACATGAGTTTTCAATTATATAGCTATAAAACATACACTTGCATAATATAAATCCGTGTTTGAACATTTTCTCATTTCCCGGATTTAAAGAACCACTATCAACAAATGATAAACTGAAAAGCGAAAACATTTTGAACTAGCATCGCAAACTAGGTCATGTGTTTCGACGATGATGGGCTTTTTATGATTGTGTCAGTGTTGGTTGCAAACTCTCGCCTTTTATTAACTGACAAAAAGGCATGCTCTAACAGAAATCAGTTGGTAATGTAAAACATGGCAAGATAAAAACCAGACACATTTTCGTGATGTTTTCTTAAAATACAACAATTCGATGAGAGGCGACAACCCGGAAACAATCGGACAATGAGGCAGACTTAATTTTAGATTTCCTTCGTTTTGTTTTAAAACATTTGCAAGGCTGAATCCAAACTTTTTGTGGTTTTATAGCAATGACTTAGCAGTTACGACCGGATGTTACTTAGAATTAATAGTTCTGGTACAGAGAGCCTAAATTAGATTTCATCGCGCCACATAATTTAAGCACTCGACATTCCTGAGTAAAAAATCAAATTCACCTATACGAATAACTTTTGGATCAAAATCATGTCATAAACGATATTGATCTACTTCATTCTACAAATGTACTCTTTTAAAATAATCTGGAGCACTGTACATAAACGAAAAACAAACTTCAGAATCACGGAATTCAGTCACTAAAGAAAAGCAGCGTATTTTTTGCGTTATGCGCGCAAGATTTTAACTTGCGAGGACGACGAGGAGCCCACGCGAAGGGAAGCTAGCCCTCGAAAAACGAGTTAATGCGCAGTGAACGCGCTGAAAGCAGAAACCAATGGGCTCAGCGTATTCCAACTCGTTTACTCCACGCACCCTTCGGTCAAAACAATTTTAATTTGTACTGTTCTCAGTGAACCTCAGGTCTATTGTTTTTAATAAAGAAAGAGTCTATCTTGAGGGACAAATTTATATCACCGTAAAAACGGAGGAAAACTTACGAATGAAGCTAATTCAGGTGTGTTTTAAATACATGGCTATAATGGGTTTTCAGCTCAAATTAATCCCCTCTCTTTCAGTTGGAAGATTCCCTCGATATCTAGTTAAAATAGTCAGCCCATGCCAGCTTAAGCGGTTGACGACGTTCGATTCGGGAGATCATCAGCTAATAACGCCATTGTATATTGTCTCATTAACGATATAAACGGTTCTCGACCGTTGAAAAACATTTTTCATATATTTTTGCACTGCATTGGTGCTCCAGGCTGAACATGTCCTAGATGAGGTTACATGAGAGTACACCACGATTTTCGGACATGCTTGCACATTAAGTGGCAAATGTTAATACTCTGTAGACTGCACTACCCGAAGTACAAAATAGAAAAAAGGTTACTTTAAAAAAATTCAACAAAATAAAATGTTCAATATACCATACATCGACATGGTAACAGTACAAAGTTGACATAACACTATTACTGAGTTCAATCAGTTTGTTATTCGCAGTACATACAAGAACTCATCTTAAGAATTTTTGACAACTGTGTTCTGTACGCCATGAACTCGAATTGTGTAAACATCAGTCTTTCGCAAAAGAATGTTGTCAGCCGGCCAACACTGACAGTCATTGAATCTCTTCAAAACAATTCTGACGTCAAAGTCAACAGGGAATAACAGTACTGTCAACTGCAAAGACATGTAAAATGTTTAGTCAGATCAGTATATAGTATGAGTTCTCTTCGGAAAAAAGGAAAACCGTAAAGACGTAAGAAACGTTTTTTTAATTAATTTTCCGTTTGACGCAACTGTAGAATGTGCGCATGGTGGCTTAGCGAAATAATATCTGCTTAAGAGCTTAAGCAGGTACCGAGCTGTTCGAGCTCCGAGCAGACCAACGACTTTAAAGTTCACGTGAGTCCTCTTTTGTAAAAAGGAAAACAACAAAGAAACAATCTTTTTCAAAATTTCCGTTTTACACAACCGCAACGAGTCACGGAAAGGTGAATCGTATATTAGCTTAGAGGCTAAGGAAGCTAAATTGTTTGTGCTTGGAACAAACCAATGCGTCAGGAAAACTTCGATGACTTTTAATGATCACGAACGTGATACATTTCATAAAACGCAGAATTCCCTAATTATTCACTTTTTCGTAACATATCTATACCACATTTCTTACTAAAACCACGAACACTTAACTAACATACGAGTAGGGCCACTTTACATCGTATTGCTGTTTAAACGACGTTTAACGATCCCCCCGCTCCCCAAAGGAGATGACCAGTGTCTCCCTAACACCGTAATACAACAATAATGGTTTACGATGATCATGTGAACACCTTTAATGGTAAAGCAGAGCTCCCTCGTTCGTTGAGTTTATTTTTTTGTTATGATATATTCAGCCGACAAAATAGGTTTTTTTTTTCAGACACATACTTCGTGCTCGTGTAGGATACAAATGGAATATAATGCGTTTCAGTGAACTGCTAAAGCGACTGTAGGCCGTGGCTAACGCGGCTGTGTTACGTTGGTTTCTGGCCAATGAAAACATTCCCTTTTAAGTCCAAACTCAGTTAGTTGGGTGATAAGATTTTCCGCAAAGTTTCTAAGATTATTCTGGCTATATTTAAATGAAGACGAAATCTGTTCATTATACGACGAAAACTGAAGAATTTATTGTGAATTTCCCTCATTCTGGAACATTATAGACTACCGGATATAATTGTCCTTAAACTTGATATTACGCGTACAGTCTTGCAAAGTTTGGTTCCCCGCCAATATTATCGTCACTGACCTCCAATATTCGTCAATAAGTGTCGCCAGGTCAGGGTAAATAAACTTTGGTTGAATATCATGAACCAAGAAATGAGAAACTTGATATTTATCACGCGTGGGCCTTGAAAAACGCTAGATGTACTTTCGACATTTTCGAAACTTGGCAAGGGTAAATGAGCTTTACTTTAATTACGTGCATTCAGTGGAATGAAGTGTCGATGAATCGAATCAATCTTTAGACCGGCTGATCTAGATAAGACCATATATTAAGGATAATAGCCCGCACTACCGAAACGTGTCTAAGATTTTGAGCATAAAGGGAAAAAAGCAGAAAGACAAACTCGGAAAACAAAGACGATATAGATGACATTTAATTGGTACTTTACCTTTCCCCATCATCTTAAACTGGATTGATTTGACAATCAATGAATCGCTCTAATTGAATACCAAGTCTCTTAACCTTCCCTGGTTTTTGTTTTACAGCTTTTCTCTTAGTAGGAAGGTAATGCGAGGCCCTCGAATTTTCTTTACTCTCAATATTTAAGTCGATGTAAAGATTCAACTAGCTTAGTTGAACAGTTCTCTCAGAGAAACGTTAAAAAGGCATGTCGGTCTTGTAAACGGAACCCGTGACTTAATTACTCCGCAATTTGATCAGGTTCTCGAAAGCATAACTATCGAGATTACTTAAGCTTTCCGAGTTCCTTCAGTGCGTTCAAGCGCCTTCCTTACAACAGTAACAACTAAAAAAGGAATTTTGTCGACAACTTACAAGATTTTCTGTGGCAAAGTAACGGAAAACCACCATAAGTGGGAGGTGTACCCTGTCTCTGTTAAAGTGAACTGATCGAGCCTTATATGGTAGCGAAAACACCCACTGTTCGCAAGCGTTACGAACAACAAACCATGACCATAAACCCCCGAAGTTAGCAAAGTTATTGAACGAGAAACCACTATTTCCCTGAACTGTTGTTAACTGTTCTAGAGTTTCCGGTTTTTGATATAACAGTGTATAATTCATGACTTCAATTTTTCTTTCAATAATTCTCGTGTTCATGGCATTCTCAGCGGAGAGCTGAAAACTGCCAAAGTCATCAGCAGGTTTCCTAATTATTCACCGTGGTTCCAGCGCTATTTCACACCAGTTTCTAAATATTTTAGTATCGGATAACGATCTCAAAGCTAAGCACAACGTTAAGATTGATCATTACTTAGAATTGAGACAGTCGGTCTGGGAAGTCAATATTTCAAATACAGCATCGTCGATACACGGCCTCGAGCCGGAGAAAACGTTAAATTTGATTTAATGCAAATTTCGGGAATTTTCTGTAAAGTTTCGAGCCCCTTCATCAGAACGGTTTACATGTCCGAAGCCTGAAGGCAAATATTTAGAGGCCCAAAGAGTCGGATTATCAAAACAAAACAAACCAGTTTTAAAAAGTTGTCACGTCTTCCTGTTTTTCAATTTAAGAGAGCTGAGTCAGTTTTCATCGCCAAAGAC